ATCCTCTCCCCCCCCACCCCCCTCCTCCCGCCCCCAAGTCAGTATTTATGAATTTAAGATTCTGCTAGCTGGAAAACAGGAAAAAATACATTAGAGAGAACCTGTTAAATAAGGATCAGTCCTTATTTAGGATGCACGCCGTGGGTTTATTGCTTAGATTTTTTTTTCAAGTCAACTTGAACCAGGGGGGTAGGCACCAATATTTTTTTTGACTTGCTTTGACATCAAGCTAAGTGGCAGTCGCTAAAGTTGTATGCACGCAAGTTTACACTTTATATGCAACTCCGGGGGGGAGATAATTGCTGGAAATTCTCGCAGCTGCTTCTAAAACACTGGGATGTGACACAAAGACATTCTACGTCTTACTTTAAAATTCGTAGGCCGGTCGCTTCTCTAAAATTGCAGTCATGATCCTAAAAGGCGAGGTAATTTCGCATGTTTTAACAGCATATTTTATCGTTTAACACTGCTTCGTTATAAATAGCGCAAACATGTCTTAGTAGAATCTAACATTGCTAAAGAGCAATTCTTATTAGTGTTACAAAAGCTATCCTTTCCGTTTACCTATCAAATGTCGAATACGACTGTGAATTATGAAGACTGAGAGAAGGAAAATGTATATAAATATACGGGCACATATATTTACGCATATGTGCAGGTATACAAAGTGTATGCATGTATGTACGTATATATAACTGTGTTAATCTGCATGTAAATACATGCGTCCATATATGTAGAGACGCACTCTTGTATATATGTATGTACGCATGTGTACAGTCATATTTAAACACATAGAACATTATTTTGCATTTATCTGTGTGCATGAATGTGGGTACACGTGTGTATAATCACGCAAAATGTATAAGAAACATATTAATAAATACGCGTTTGTGTATATACGTGTGTATACACCTAATTACATTTTGTACGCGCATATATGTACAAATATATATTTATAAATACAAGGAAAAATACACTTTTGTTGCATAGATTTGTATACGCGTGTGCTTATACACACGCATACATATAAGATTGAAATGTTATATATCTCTTCGTATCAAACTGTGGTTAAAAGGACTAATTTTTCAGCTAAGCACACACAAGGTTTGAACACGTTGTGTAAAAGGTTTCCCCTTCAAAAGGGATTCATGCCCACATCTTCATACCCTCAGTTCTCTGCCGTTCGTCATATAGCAGGCGGGTTTGGTGAACATATGCCCAACGAGAAGCCATCAGAGCCGTGTTACGTATTGGAATTTATTAATTCAGTTTAATTAGGCAGTTTGCTAAAGCGCTTGTAAAGATGGACCTCATACAAAAGAAAGAGAGAGAGAATATGACTTCATAGTGGCACTATAAGGCAAAAATGTAAACTGCACACATTCCTCTACATACAGACTGGATAATATTGCATCTCCCTAAATCATCGGCATTTACAATTGGGTTTAACTTATTAAAGGAGATAATAACAAGACCATTGAGAAAACCCTGGGAAGCGCACGCTTCGCCTGGGGTCAGTGGGATGGCAGTGGGGGATTTGGGGCGCAGATGAGTCCAATTTCCAGCTGATTATTTTCCCCCTCATTTGGTATTTCTTTACACCTCAAGTCTACCCAGATCCCTTTGAAAATGGGGCTCATTGTTGTGGATTATTTTAATGGTGTTGTTTCCTCAAGGAGTGCTGCTGCTTTTGATTTTGGCGATGACTTTCTTTTCCTTCACCCTCCTGTTCTGAAACCAAATAGTGATCTGTCTCTCCGAGAGGTTGGTGACGGCGGAGATCTTTCTCCTCTTGTCCTTGGTGATGAATTTGTTGCTGGCGTATTCCTTCTCCAGCTCCTTCAGCTGCCCCTTGCTATACGGGATCCTTTTCTTCCGACCCCGGCGGAAGGAGCAGCCGTCCGGCGGGTGCTGAGCTACAGCATCTGAGAGTGGAGAGACGGAGAAGGAGAGAAAAGGCAGAGCTCAGCTCAGGGGAACCAGTCCCTCGCAGGCTCACCCAGGGCTCAGGGTACTGGGGAAACTGACCAGAACCACGCGTGCGGGGGTGAAATTGACTAACCCCAGAGCCCCTCTTTCTTCTGGCTCGACTGACGCGTTTCCTACCACTGAGGGGAAATCAAGCCTCGCTGTGCTCTCCGCTTTTACCTTCAAATATGGATCCCTTTCTTCCCGACCTCACGTCTCATCCCTGTCTTTTCTTAGGGGGAAAACGAGCGCCCCCATTTTCTCTGGGATGATTCAACCACGATTACATTATCTGTCCCTGCCTTTTATTCAGACAAAAAAAGATCCTTAGGAGAAAATACATTTAGGAAGTTGCAAGGTGCACGAATGAATCAGAATAATATTAATGTCCACTTGCAAGTGCGGACCTTCCCAAAGCACATTTCTGAGCCGGAATAATTTTATATCTTTTCGCATAGAGTAGTATTGCAACGCTCATTGTTGTATCGTGATCATATTAATGTCCATGTCGTTGCTGGGGGCGAGTATGACATCTTTCACCGTGCATTACTGCATCCGAAGAAAGTAATTTCTATATTTTCGGTAGATTTGGTACAGATTCTGTATCTACTCGTATAGATTGGGCCGTGTTGAATTTTTAAACCAGAATAACAGCCAATTCTATTGACTCGATTTGCTCGTTCCACGTTGCCAAGTTCAAGAGCCAACGGGAATCGTATCAGTGCCCTGTTGCCTCGGCTGGGAGTGTGACATGTTGCAACGCACCTTGTCGAATTAAAATAAAACTGATTTCTATTTGAACTCGCTGAGCTCGGCTCGTGCAACATTGCAAAGCCCAGGGGTGAATCAGAATGGGGCCGGGGGACTGCCTGCCTGCAGCGGTGGAGCTGGCGGGGCACACTGGTGGAGGCAGATGGAAGTGAATTCTGCTCCTGCGCTCCGTTGGTGCCCTGCCTCAAGCTACATTCTTTAATCCTAACATTAACACTGCCTGAAAAGCCCCTCCCTCGGTCTGGAGCATAACAACAATTTGATGGGGGAGGGAGAACACCCTCATGGTTCAACCTACGTAAAGCTTCCCACCAAAACGCCTTAAACGTGCAAAGGGGTCGGGGACATTACCTGCAAAGGCAGATTTCCAGAAGTGCCCAGCCTGGCTTTGATCTTTGGGGCAACACAGCTGGCTGTTCCAACCGCTGGTTAAAGCCCAGGGCTGGTGGTAACTGTCCACGGGTAAAAGTGTCTCATGCCTGGCCTCTCCCGGCCCACCCATGGTCTGAACTACAGAAACGTCCAGGTAGCTCGCCATGGGCTGGTAGGGGCCTGCGTAGCCTGGGTAGAAAGCGAAATCTGTTGGTCGGGGCTGGAATTCCTCCCCCGCAGCCGGAGTATCCACATATTTCTCAGCGGGGTAGCTGCTCTGGGGGCAAGGTTTGAGGGAGCTCCTGGCAACCCGACAAGAATAATAGCCGCTGCCGAAATATCCGTAAGGTAAAGGCGTGGTGGTGGAGGACCCTTGGGGGACTGCGGGGCACGGGATGCACTGCTTAGAGGGCTCCCCAGGCCCCGCATTGGCGGCATCCATCGTGGGGTAATTAGAGCTGTGCATCAGGGTTGAAGGAGAGGGACCTCCCAAGGCCGAGTGAGCCACCAGATTCCTGCATTGGTTAGTAGCAAAATTGCCCGCGCCCATAAGCCCCTCCATGCTCTTATTGCTTTCATCCAGCTCGTCGTGGCTTGTAAAAGTCCCAGGGTCCATGCAGCGAGGTTTGCAGGCCGGTGCATTGGTCAGATCATGCTCAGCAGCAGACGGGCAACGGGAGAAGGCTTCCTAATCTTTTTAAAAGCCTGAGAACTGCAAAGGAGGCTGCATTTCTTCCAGCCAAGCTACACTGACGCAAACGACGTGGCTCTCCAAGCGGAGCTGCTCATTGGCTGCCGCGCACCCACTGGAGAGGTTAGGGGAGAAGGGAAGGGGGGAAAAAGTCTAATAAACTCTTATTGCAGAAATTGCGAAAATACTTTTATTGCAACTGGGGGGGTGGGGGCTGGGGGGAAGGAGGAGAGAATCTCTCCACACGTGACAGGCAAAAAAGCCGGAGGAGAATTGTTTTTTTTTTTTCTTTTCAAATTGCATCGTGCCAAAAAGAAAGAAAGAAAGAAAGACCAGGAAAAATATAACCACTATGGCACAAAGATCCATTTCTAGTGAGAAAAACCGAGGATCAATCCGAGACAGTCATGAATAATTTCTTAAACAGAACTCCATCGTTTTGCTTTGGAAAACACCCTAAAAAAATCCAGGCAGGTTGCTCTGTCTCTGGGCGCCTGGATATTGGCCGAAATCTCTTTCCCATCGAGGTACATTCAGACAGTCCCCAAATATGCTCAGATTCGGGGCTCTCTCATCTCTGCCTCCTCCGAAGTCGAAATGTTTCCTGACAGGCGTTGGGTATTGATGACAGTCCAAAAAAAAACCTTCCTAAAAGGCACTTCCCCGCCCCCCGCCCCAGCTAAGTGTCCTTTCTCTCTCTCCATCTGCATGGAAATGCAGAATCGGATATTTTTGCATGCTTTCATTTTTTAAAGGGAGAGGGGGGTCTCACAAATTCAGAAGGCAAAGGGCCTACAGAGAGAACGGAGATAGAGGTGGCGATTGCAGGGGGAAAAAACAGAGGGGGAAAATGTGGATGCAGGGCTACATAATCCTGGGCTTGAAATGCAACTGCAAAGGCTGGAACAGCCTCTTGTGCAGGAGAAATGATCTGGGAGGATTCCTCAGTTTTGCAATAATCCAGACCAGACACATCCTTTTCTGATTTGCGCTAGGTAATCGAGTGGCATTGAAGAGCTGAAATGTTGTCTCAGACTGCAGCATTGTGCCCCGGTTTTGCTTTAATGTTTTATGATCATAATGAGGCCTGAAATGTGAAGTCCTAGCAGAGGAGCAGGGAAATATTTATCTGTTTGCAAAAAGTTTCTGAGTGGGTCAGTTATTCAGGCAAAGGGAGAGAGCGATTGCTCTGGGAATGGGGGTACATAGACTCTTGTCTGTCTCCACCCGCATCATTTATTTATCTTTCAATTTGGAAAAAAAATTGAATACATGCATACATAACCCAGATTGATGTGTGAGTAACTGATTTAGATGTGTGTGCCTGTGTGCATCAGATGCATGTATATGCACATGTTGCACATATAAACATGGATCCAGTCGCACACACGCGTACATATGTCTGGCTGGCTGGCAGTCGGTCGTTTTACTTCTGAAAAGCATTTGGTGTAGAATTTGATTCTACTTCATCTTATTTCCCCCCGAAACATTATGTTTGTGAATTTAGCTGCATTTTCAGACTGCATTGACTCATGCAGCTCTTTGGAAATGAGTTTGCCTGGGTCGAGTCCTCTTCATTTTTTGTGTCTTAGGTGCTCAGTGAAAGATTAGATGGCTGAGCCGGCAGACAAGGGAATTTCGCTTTCGGAAATGATGAATAGTAAGACAGCAAACAGCCGCCCGAATTTCTAGACATGTCCCTATAGTAAAAAGAAAAAGAAAAGAAAGTGTCTTGAACTCAGGGATGGAGAAACAGAAATAAAGCAGGGTTTAGTAAGAAAGCGTTTACATGCTGTCGTGAGTGCATCAAACCAGCTTAAGTTTTCAAGTGTCCTGTAACATATCTTTAAAACTCCCACAGACTTTGAATCATAACTTTGTTCTTAGCTCTGTCTAGAGATCTGCTTTTCTTATACAATGTGTTGCGTCGTCTACTTTATTGCAACCATATTTTAAAAGGGGTGGGGGAGCATTTGCCATAGCTGAGCCGCTGAGCAAGCTTTAAATAATCATTAGCTCTAAGCCCAAAACATAAGTCTTTAAAAAAAAATCAGGTTATGAAGTCAATCAAAATAAAGAAATCAACTGTCTGTCTCGCACACGTCTGTGTGCGCGCCGTAAGTGTATGCGTGCTTACGCGGAGGTGTATTTGATTCATTGTGACTTGGGAGTTTGGCGTGGGAAGGTAACACTGTCTTTACCTGTAACCATTAACACAGACATATGTTCTTCTCCTTTTCTCACACTAGTAACCCTATTGACATAAATGATTCAGGCCAGGGGGGTCTGCCCTAACATTAGCAAACAGAAGTCCCTATGAAAGGTCAATATCTTTCCTTAACAAAGTAAAAAAGCTGTACATTTCCCCAGCACAGCCAGGGGCCCGATCCCATCCCTCTGCTCCTGCACCCAGTGTGGACTTTCAGTGTTAGCAAACTCTCTTCCCTTACCCACCAAAAAGGTCTCCATCTGAGTTTACACCCTCACCACTGTTGTTTCACCTGCCTCAAAGAGCCTTGAATTTCCACCAAACTGCAGTTCCATTTGATTTCTTTCAAACTGGCCAAATTATCTTATTTTTTAATCTCTCCTTTAAGACCAGCATTCTCCTTTTACAGCTATTTTTAAAGGCTGCTACTTTGCCCCCCTTTAATGTCTTCCTATTCTCCACTCCCTCCTCCTCCCTTTTAAAATCACTCCCTCAGCTTGGGAGCTGAGCATTTCCACCAATTCCCCCTCCCCTCCTCCCAGTCAAATGTTTGCAGACAGGGCCCAAACTCACTAGGGTCTCAAGATGCTCCTTTACATAAAGGTCAGACATAATCTGAAGGTCAAGGCCAAGTTGAAAGTTAAGGGTCTGTTTACCTCTGGAGCTTCTATTCTTCAGAGCTCCATATACTCATGTGACCTTTGCAGGTCCCAAGTCCACAGCCCTTTTAATGGGACAGACACACCAAAGGCTGCAACAGCAATGGCTGTCTTCAGAATTCACAGCTCGGTGTTACACATGGCCATAAAGGGAAGGCTTAATGCACTTTCATCACGTTGGCCATGGCATGAAAGGCTGCTTGTGAAAAAAATAGGCTGATGCTTCTAAAGAGGTGTTTTGACGCCCCCAAACGAGGAAAGCTACCGATTCCAGCCCCAAATATGCAACCAATATGCAACGTGTTCAGCAGAAGCTGCTGAAGGTGGAATATCGAGGGCCTGGGATACAGCAGGGGGAAAGGCAAAGCACCTTGTTCTGCTCGCTCCAGACTTTTCGAGTTGTTTGCTTCATTTTGTTTATTTTGTCCTGGGTTTGATATTTTTTTAAACAGTCCTTCCAAAAAATTTACCCCTACAGGGTGCAGGAGCACTGCACTGTCCGCGCGAGGATCTCAGGTTGTTCTGTCTCAATGATGAGCCATCCGAAGAGTGCTTTGAGGCCAATCATTCTCCATCCGCTTCTTGCAGTCCTGACTAAAACTGTATTCAGAGCAACAAGGGAGGTGTCTGGAGAAGAAACACAAACCTGCAGAGAGGCACTCAGATTTACCCACAGCATCTACTCAAATGCTGGGGCTGGGTTCATGGAATCAAATGGATCGACTTCCCCCCCCCCCCCCCCCCCCCCCCCTCGGAGTCGCACTCCCCCCCCCCCCGCCCCCCACTCGTTTGACTCCATTGCCCTTACCCCTTCTGTATCACGCATCAGTGTGCAGTAAAAACAGAGAATATTTTTTTTACCACATCATTAGCTTAAAATGCCGGTTCCACACTAAAATGAAAAGGTCCCGTTCTCTGTGGATATTACATAGAACATGTGAGTTCAAAATATCCGTCTCTTGCAATAAAAAAATAAATCCTTGTCCACCAGGACGAAAATTATCTGGAAAAACTGTTTTTTAGCTATCTTTTTATTAGATCCATGATAGGGAGCTCTGAGTTGGACATGTATGCCTTTTTGGGATCTGGAAAGTAAGGAGTCATTTGTAACTGTCTGTAATCTTTCCAAGCAATTGAAAGTGAAATAGCGAATTAATTAAAAGAAAAAATAAAAATCCCTCCAAGCTGTTTCTATGGGAAGGAGTGAAACGATTTCTGGCTTTCATGTTTGGAAAGTATTAGTGTTGGAAAATCTGATTCGTGTTTGTTCTCGGTCTGGGGCACAAGCCAGCGGATAGAGAGGTGCAAGGGGTCGACAATCGTGCTGGAAAATGTAATCGAAAGGGGGAAAAATCAGCAATTTTCTTGCCCTCTCGTCAGTTCATTTGGCTTAAATAACAAAGCGCATTTGCACCAAGAAGGGCAAGATCGAGACTTTATATTTTGCACGGTTTTAAATTGGATGAGATCCTCGTTGAGAGTCACTGGGAGAGCGCCTGGGGTGGCAGCGGAAAGGAGAAAAGTGTGTGTGGAGGGGGGAAGAGGGGGATGATTAATTTCTGCATAATTATTGATGTGCTGCTTTCTTTCACTTTTCTTGAAGAAATACCATTCAGACTCAGAAATCCCAACCATCCTCCCGGGACTGAGAATCGCCTTTTTCCTACAGCAAACAGTGTCCCATCTTCCATGAGCCAGTCTTAAACTCCAACCCCTCTTTAGCTGCGTTTTCCAAAACTCCTCTATTTCCTAAATGATTTAAAAACCCGAGGGTCTGGCTGCATGGCCCGTCACATGGCTCCAGGGCCAGGATCAGTCTATTCCCTCCTAGGACAGTGATCAGATTCGATTGATCAGTTTTATTTGGAAGCACAAAGTCCCCAGCTGACAGCAGATCTGACCCCTAATCCGAGCCTCTTTGCTGCTGCCTTAAAGAAGGGAATATTTTAGATCTATCTCATATCACCAATTTGGGACATGAATTTTTTTTTCTTAAGAAACATTCCAAAATTAGATCATTACAACCAAACAATAATTATGGCACAACGGGATTACAA